GTCTAAACTACCCATTGAATGTGGTTGTTTAATATGCATGCAAGGAAGTAATTATGGTATTACCTGTGAATACTCGTCTGTGACCATCATCCAGGTCAGGAGAGAGGTCATTGCCTGCTCCCTTGAACAGCCTCTCAGGCAGTCCTCTCCCAAGGCTCAATGAATGTTCTTTCAACTTTCATCATCATAGATCAGTTTTGCTTGTACTGAGTTTTGTATGAATGGAAACATACCAGACATACCAAACACATCTTTTTGTCTCACATTCTTTGAGTTTTTAATTTTAAATGACTAATATCTGTCCCTTGCGGAAATGTTTTTAAAATTTGTCTATTTTTTGCCATAGTGGCCTGTCGCTTCATTATTTATCCTCTTTCTTCTTTTTTAACCTCTAGTAAATTCAGAATTGCTTATTTTATAGAACCTGCTATAACATTCTGTTAAGTTCATATGGTGCTAGTTTTTTTAATTTGTGTCTTATGTATAATAGATTTTTTTCTTTATGTACTTGTTGATTGCAAATTCATCTTCAATCAGAATTTTTCATCAGTGAGTCCTGAATATATGGAGCTATAGAAGTGTTCCTATCTTAACAGCACAAGAGTAGTATAAATTCAGAACCTGGATACATTTGCATATTGCATTGGTGTAAGATTTACAACTTCTTATAGGAGACTTTTTTTGTGACCCACCTGGAATTCTCAGTAGGTGGCAAGTTTCTTTTTCACTTCCCTGGGTCAGGGGTAGAGTCTTTATAGTGCTTATTTCACGAGTGGGAAGCATTTTATGGATCTCTGTTTTGGTGGAGATCTCGGTTCTAGCTTTTGTTCTGTCACGGGCACAAGGTGACATCTCCTGTCCCTGTGAGGGTGTTAGGACCCCGGCCTCTCTGCCCTTCCCCAGGGCGTGTGTATACAGAGCGTGTGTCCCCCCACAACCCAGGCCATCATTGGATCTTGTTGCCATTGCTTTTCTGCCTCTAACGTCTTTGCTTTGTGTCTGGCCTCTGTGTCTTACCCGAAGTTTTAGTCTCTGGTAAACGTGCCAAACAGAAGAGATTATTGAGACCTAGCCCAGACCTCCTGAATCTAAATCTTTAGGAGGAGGATCTAAAAACCCTATGTGTTTATCAAATGCTTCAGGTGGCTATTAAAACCAGGCAAGTAGTAGAAATATTACATATGGTAATCTCTCAGGTTCTGTTTAGTCTGTGATGTTATGGGGACCTAGTAGTCCTTTCTCTGCTTCTGTCCATCTTCCTTTCTCTTCCCTCTCATATCACTTCTCTACAAAAGTGGGCCCTAAAATGTCTAATCTGGATATTCAGGCAAAAATGAGTTGGTCTCATTCTATTTTGAGTTACATTAATCTTTCCTGGTCCGTGGCTGGAGGAGGCCCTGTGAGACAGTGGTTCACTATTTTCTGTCTCTGTCTCATCAAAGATGTAAGGATAACCAAGTGCTGTGCAAACTTCTGAAGAATAGTAGAATTACTAAATACTTTCGTTAATTCAGAAATATTTCCTGGGAAATTTTGAGTTAATATGCAAGGTTTGAAAATCCTTGTGCAGTGAAGTACCCAGAGGACTGAATCTGACTAGAGGCAAATCACCCAATTACTGGCAGGGAATGAAATCATGTTTACAGAGAAACCTTCAGAATCCTGTGTGCTTGATTCGTCTCTTTACCTCCTTTTTTCATTTTGGCTTGCAACATGATTGCATTATTTTGGGGGTCTGGTTCCAGATTTATCACTTAGTGTGTTATTTTACCTGCCTCTTTCCCTGAGCTTTTCCAGCCACCATGGCTACTGTGGGGTACATATTTAAAAAAAAAAAAAGTCGATAATTCTTTTCCTTTATTTTGGAGAAGTAGCAGGTTCGTGGACATGCCAACAAATTCACTGAGACTTTGACATTCACGACATTTAATAAGACTGGTCAACCTAGTCTGACCTTGCTTGGGAACCTGGGTCTGAAGACAATAGCTACCCATCCTTTGAGTTTGTGCTTGGTGCTTGCAAGAAAATGCCTCAGCTTCCAAAACAAAAACCCGAATGTAAATGACGAGGGTGGCATGGAAGATAATAATTGTTGTGAAGCCTTATTTAGAAAAATCATTTATTGTGCCGCTCTATCGCTGTGAAAAAATATGTAGCTTCTTGTATTTGTTAAAACCAGCCAGTTTCTCCTTTCTGGTCTCAAAACATACTTTGCATTGTTTTTTTTTTTTTTCCCTGGGACCGTCAATTTAATTCAGGAATGATCTAATTATGAGGCAGTGAATCTAGTCCTCTGGATGATAAGTGTTGACTATCATGGGAGAAGCCCTGGCAGATGGTTAGTTCAGAGTGAATTTACCTTGGGATCCGGGCTTTAGACTGACAGCTTTTTTCACTCAATTAAGTGCAACAACTGCCAAAAGGACAGCATTGAACTTGATGTAAATCACGACTGCCGAAGGCCTTGATAAAGTTTAAGCTGGTGCCCTGAGTCAGCCAAACTTCTTAGGGTGTTTCAAGACACCACACTGTGAATGGAAAACAAAGGTGGGTGAAGCACAGAGTACGACCCCCCTCCTTTAAAATGCAGGTATTTATTTCCTTTTCCAGGTCAGCTGCTTTATTTAGGGCCTCTATTTTGGTGTCCTGTCAGGGATTCATTAGGTATCTCCTGCAGTTGGCTTTTGCTCTGGGCCCCGCGGATCCTGCAGTGACTCTGTGTTCCCCAAAGTTAACTTCTTACTATTTGGGATGCACAGTGACCCCACTCCACAGCCTGCCTGCCCTGGGTGGCTCTCTGAACCCCTGAGAGGTGGGGTCCCCAAAGGAGAGAGACCTCAGTGTGTGGGATGCTTCCATCCGTTGAGAAGGCCTGCATAGCTTTCTAGGCCGTTCCTCTTAAGTCAGCTTAGGCCGGAAACCTTGCTTTCCTCCCTGCCTTCTGCCGGGTGGCGCTCAGCAGTCGCCAGTCTTCAACCGCAATGGACAACTTTGCCTTCTGTCTGTCTCTTTCCGGCTCCCCAAAGAGTCCCCTGACTTAGTGCTGTATTTTCTGTGGTGTCCAAGGTCAGGACCCATTAAGATGTTTTTGAGTAGTGCAATGAGAAATTGCTTCCTGCAAACCACGGTCTGGGAGGTGAGCCTTTCAGAAGGGCTCCTTTGCCCATTCCCACTGCCAGCACCAGGTGCTTGCTCACCTCCCAGCGTCGGCCCAGAGGTGCCCAGGTGCCCGACAGTGCTGCACAGCTTGTTCTGTGTTGTTATTTCTGTTTTACAAGCCTGGGGAATCTGAGCCTGAAATTCCTCAGTCAGGTAGATGCCATTGTCAGCCTGTTATCAGTTTCCTGATTTACTGTGTAAGCAGTTTTGATCATCCCTGTCATATGTGATTACATTCCCCCCCACTTCCCATAACATCTTGGTGTAATTGGTTTGATAAACCCAACCTCAGTCCAGTAGTTTGGTTGGAATATACTTTCACCTTCTATCTGTGTGACTAAGATGGTTTGGAATTGCTCTGCTCAGAGAAAATCAGGCTTTGAGCACCAGGCCCTTAGCTGCAGGAGCAAAATCACCCCGGACAGGCGGTGCAGGCCTGGGAGAGCTGAGGGCTTCAGTTGAGCTTCAGGACTCGAAATGGAATTCTTCTTTCTTCCCCTGCTTGGGCCAAGAGTGGTATGTGTTTCAGTGTGTGTGTGTGTGTGTGTGTGTGTGTGTGTGTGTGTTCTTCAGCATCCCCAGAGAATATCCCTGTTGTATCTGTATCTGGGACTACTGGACAGATCTTTTTTTCCATATTTCATCTTTCCTAGAAGTTGGATGTGTTTGTTTTTTCATTGATTGGATACTTCCTTTGTTCTAGGACGAATCAATGAGGAAAAGGAGCTTTCTTTTTCTTTTTTCTTTTCTCCCCTTCAGTGGTGTTGCTCCTGGGGGCAAAGAAGGAAAAATCAGTATGCTTTGATAGTGGGGGCACTTTGGGTTAATTAAGTGCTTTGGTTAATTTGGGGTTAAACTGAAACACAGAAGGTACTTGGAGCTCTTTCTTACTAAAGTTAATTCATCCTATAGTTTAGCACCCAGCAGAGCTCTAAGGCTTCATGGAGAAGGCAGTTGTAGAATTGAGATGGGAAGAATGAGTAAGATTTGGAGGAGAGGTGACCAGGCAGATGAAAGAAGGGTTTTTCTGATTCTAGGGGGCACAGCAGAGGCAGGAGGACTGGAAAACCAGAGTAGGGAAAAGGACAGGCCTGCTGGCATGTGGGTGGAGGAAAAAAGAATAAAGCTGAATCATAGGAATTTGTGTAGAGAGTAAAGCTTTTGATTACTTTGGGCTTTGGGCTTTGTGTTTAAGTCTGTAGGCACTTGGGAGCCATGGAAGGTTCTTGAGTGAGGAGTGACATCCTCAGAATTATGTTTCCAGCGAAGTAAAATATACAGCTACAGAGAGAGTCATCTTTTCCTTTTAGAGGAAAATATAATGCAGGCCAAAGCTTTATCAATGCTTGAATAGTAATTATTTTGAAGAGTTGTTATTTTAGAATATACCTTTTTTGGGGAGAATATTTCCTTCCAGGACACAAACTTTCCTGGGAGTCATCTTTGAGGGTTTTTGCACAGTCCAGTCTTAGCAGTAGAAGCCAGGTCCCCCTCACTGGCATCTCCCACGAGCATGATTCTGCAGAATCATACTCATTCCTGAATATCCATGATCAGAATGTGTAGCCTATGCAGATGTGCATGGGACAGGGATGGGAACGTGGATCATTCATCAGTGGTCATTTGCCCAGTTATTTTCTTAGATCTAAATTTAAAACGGAATGGGAAGATGTTATGATGGTTTATTTCACACAAACTAGACTTAGCGCTTTTAGAAGAATCTGGCTGTGCGCTTATTCCCGAACTGCTTGTCTCTTATTCTGATATGTTGCTCATCATGATTTTTTTTTCATGACATTAAATTTTAAAGTATTATATTAAAATACTATTTATCTTGATCACTAAGTTTTTTGGCTCCCTTTAAATTTTGTGCCTGAGGTGAGTCTCTTGCTTGCCCTGGCCCTGTTGACTTTACAAAACAGAATGGAAAATCTTCTCCATGCTGTGAGTTTTTTCAGCATCTCTTCCAGTCTACTCTGTCCTTGTAAAATATGCCCCTCACACCACGTGAAACAAACAATAAATAAACCGACACATCTCTCCAGCCTCCCTTGAACTCCCTGGGGGTGTCTTGTGGCCATGGGGTCTTTCCTGGCCATAGCCCTCAGCATCAGGTTTTGAGGTGTGCAGGGCAAGAACTTCTTATCAGTGGGCACCTCTTTGTCTGGATGGAGTTCACCAAGGCTCTTTGGATGGGGTCCAGGGCAAACCCACTTCATAATGAGTTCTGCTGGGGAGTGAAGAGGCTTGCCAGCATGGTCCAGTGGATTTATCTTTTTTGACATCTTGACAGTTCCCAGTGAATGTCCTTCTCTTGGCCTCACCTGACACAGCCCAGTTTAGAATGAGAGGTTCCCTGCAGAGTTATTCCTTGTCTGTAATGAATAAAGAACTGCCGATTTAACCAGAGGGAGAAATGATAGATTTGGAAGGACCTCCCAGAGAGTTAACCCTCATTCTTATTTTGCATTTGACAAACATGCGGTTCAGGGAGATGGCCCAGCTCCTCCTGAGCCCCATGGCTGGCCTCTTCAGGCCCAGCCTAGAACCCAGGCCACAGTGCCACCCCCTTCAACCTGGGCCATGCCATGGCCATGGTGGAGCTCTCGCCTGGGGATGGGGATCCACTTTGTTGTCACTGCAAAGCAACCTGTTACTAAAGCCTCCCCCTGATGCTGGGTTTCAGTGTCTTTCCTTCTGAACTACATCAGGCCCCCTAAGTGCCTTTATTGCCATGTAGGGGGAGAAAAAATGCAAACAGCTTGGTAATTGAACAACCATGCTCTTGTCAGCCCTCATTGCTTTCCAAGCAGCTATTACAGGGAGCTAGCACCCTGGCATGGCACAGCCTGCCTAGGGTGGCCTTCTCCAGCTGCTCCCTAATCAGCCCTCTGCGGCCCACAGGGCAGTGTGGCTTTAAATTTTTGTTGTTTCCTAAGTTCTGCTCTGGCAAGCCAGCTCTGCCTTAAACCTGCAGAGTTAAATTTACCCAGACTGACAACTGTATATGCAGGGTTTAGTTACATAACAGCAGTTGCTGCCTTTCACATCGTGCTAATCCAAACACGGGGCTCAAAGAGACCATGAAAAAGCAACCTTCTGTTTGGTGTGCTCTGTGGGTGACCGGCTTATATGTCTTTAAATTTTTTTAAGCACTGTAACAATTATCCCATTATCCTGACTTGGGTGCCATTAGGTGACTTTTTGTAATATCTTAATTATTAGGTTAGCAGATGCTGTGTGCACATGTGCAATTTGTTAATTTATGCTGTTTGAAGTGAAATCCAGTTGTTTGCAGCGTCTTTCATAATATTATGGCTAACCGAACCAGAGTGCTGCTGGAATTGTAAAGCTCCTCGCAGGGAAAATGTGCGTGTGAAGCTCCGTGTACTCTTTGATCATCGCCTCGTGTGCTCCTGTGTCACTTCCCTGTGGCTCTCACCTCCCCAGCTTTCATCTGGGAAGATCATTAGGGCCCTTGCAACCTGGAGTGGGCTGGTGGACCAGGCGTGGGGTCTTCAGGGCTGCTCCAGCCGGAGAAGGAGGCTTTTCCATCTTTAAGCAGCCTTGGCTCGTTGGGGGACTGCTGGGCTGCTTGAGTTGTCACACAGAGACTCAGGAGTACTCAGGACTGTGACACATGTTACTGCTTGGTTGATGGTCTGATCTTGCCAGATATTCAGCACAAGCTGCTCCTTAACTATTCAAGTAAGCCATAAATATTCATTGAAGAAGTACTGCTTGTGATGCTAAATAGATGTGATTTAATGGGGCAAAAATGCATGACTTTTGGGGGTCATATTTACCTTTGAATTCTGGCTTTTGGCTTACCTACAGTGTGGTCTTGAACAAGTAATTTTATGTCCTTAAGGCTCAATTTCTACAAAGGCAATAGAAATATCCATCTGATAGGCATGCTGATTGGGCTTCCCCAGTGGCTCAGCTGGTAAAGAATCCACCTGCAATGCCGGAGACCCCAGTTCGACTCCTGGGTCAGGAAAATCCCCTGGAGAAGGGATGGGCTACTCATTCCAGTATTCTTGGGCTCCCCTGGTGGCTCAGTTGGTAAAGAATCTGCCTGCAATGCAGGATACCTAGGTTCAATCTCTGGATCAGGACGATCTCCTGGAGAAGGGCATAGCAACACTCCAGTATCCTTGCCTGGAGAATTCCATGAACAGAGGAGCCTGGTGGGCTAGTCCATGGGTCCCAAAGAGTCGGACATAACTGAGTGACTAAGCACAGCACAGGCATTGTGATCAAGATTATAAAATGGCCAGCAATGTGCTTAGTACATATGAGATGCTCACTAATGGTCAGACTTTTAGTTGCTCTTGGACACTCATACAGCATATAAAAGACCTCTGGGGCCTTAGGAGGTCTTAGTCTTATTGGAGAGGCAGAGCATGAATGTGTACTGATTTAAATCAAGGTACCAAGTAATTGTTTGAAATCTGTCACAAATAGTCCAGGACTCATTGGCTAAGGATTGATACAGACCTGAAGTTCACTGAGTTCAAAGGAGGGACTAGATCACTGGTAAGTTGACATGCAGGTGTACCTTGACGAGTCTTTTAAGGATGAAAAAAATTTGGGTAGATGGAAAGACCAGTGGAGAACGTGTGGGTGTGGGTGTGGGTGTGGTGGGTGTCATTTGACTATCAGTGGGGGCAAAGAGTGTGTGTAAATGCGCAAAGATGAAGAGGCCCAAGGCTGATATGGGCGACAGAAGAATATGCTTTGTCTGGGGCTGATGATTTGAATATGGTTAATAGTGGACTAGAAGATTATAAATATAGATCTGAACCCCACTGTGCAGAGCTCTGAATACCAACTTAAGGAAATCATGCACTATCTAATGTGGTTTGGTCTGTTTAAACAGGAAAGTCAGGAGACCCTAGCACACCTCTGGGAAGCCCAACAGAGCAGTGAACCTCTAAATAGCAGGTAGACCTCTAGTGGCCGAGAAAGTTACTGCAGAACCTAATGTTAATCTTGTTTGACACCTAATTTTCACAAGCTTGGCTATATGGTGAATCGGCAGCAGAATGTAAATAATGTCCAGGCTGACAGCAGTGATGGCTCACAGTCTGAAAACTTGCAGAGTCAAAAGACCTATAGAAAGCAGAGAAAAAAATTATAAAGCATCCTGGGGATCATCTAGGGATGGCATAAACCCACCTATATACCACTGCAGATCCTAACAAAATCACTGTTTTACCAGAAAAATAATACTTGATGACATAAAATAACAACATTAACAATTTTATTGCTTATAATGACAAAAAAAGACGAATTTTTTTTGACTGGCATAGGGCTAAGCATTATACTTATTTAATTCTCTTGACACTTAAATGAGAATTATCCTGTTATTATCCTTGTGTTACAGATGTGGAGAATGGAGCTTAGAGAGGTTAATTAACTTGCCCAAGGTCACAACAGTTGGAAAATTGTTATAACCAGAATACAAACCTAGACAGTATGGCTTTACCTACGCTTTTAACAGATACTCTCTACTTCCTAATAACCTCTAAACCTGAAGTCATGATAAAATAATATTCGGGAAACTCTTTTAATAGCACACTGAAATGTCCAGCGTTTCATCCAAAAATACTAATGGTGAAAAACTAGACTGAGTTTCCGTTATCTATAAAATCACTTTTGTTGCTTTCTCCAACAATAAGGTCTGAGAGATTATTATACGTTTTAAGTCATTGTAAGAAGTATGTGTTGCTTTGCACCTGTTCTCCCCACCCCCTACCCATGTGTATTTTCCTTTCTTCTCTGGGAACTTGGAAGGGCACAGGGTTGTACATCTCTGAACTGTATTCAACTTACCTTCTGCTCTAGAACTTGAAGCAATTTCATTAGTGCTCTCATTGATTCATGTTGGACTTCAGTGTACTTCTCACTGGCCATTCATTATGAGTCTGGCCTGGCTGCCAGGGTGAGTGAAGGGCAGCGGGAGGTGAGCTTTGTAACAGTGCACTCCTCGGGGCTGTGGAGAATTGCTATGAGGCCCCTTTCAACTAAGGCAGTTCTTGGAAACAGGGCATTAGAAGACAGGCAACCCTTCCTATGCCTCAAAGCCGTCCATTTTGGTCAGTGGCTCCAATGACTGATGGTGGTAGTGGAGTGTTAAGCTGCACGTCTTGGCATTTGACACTGGCACTACTGTGCAACCTTCGGAAAGTTATCAAGCCTCTCTGGTTCTTAGCAGATCTACAACTGTAAAAGTGGAGAATTAAAAGATATACATGTAAAGAAATTAACAAAATGTTTTTCACATTCAAATAGAGCTACTGTTCATATTGATATTGATCACAATTCTTCTGAGTTCAAAGGAGAAAAAACAAACTCAGGCTAGCCAAAAAAGGAAATTAATGGGCTCATGTAACTAGAAAGTTTAAAGGGAAGATCAGGACAGCCAAAGAGTTTCTGAGTTGGCCTTTCTCTGTTCTCAGGCATTTCCTCTCCAGCAGGAGATCCAAGGAGAAAAGTACAGCTTCGTCTCCCCTGGGACTTAGTGAAATCCTTAAAACCATGCTCATTGACTCAGGCTGGGTCACATGACCCCAACCTGCACCCTCAACAGCCTCAAATGGGGGCTGTATGACCTTCAGCAGCTGTCCTGACTCCTGTATCTAGCCTTGTGAGCACACAGTAGAGTCTACAAATATGTTATTGTGTGATGAAAGGATAGAATTTAGATAGGCTGAGCTGGGAGGAAGACAGGTCTATTTCAGGATGATACGAACAAAAATGAAAGGGGTGGGGATTGGCATCATGTGTTTTAAGATTAATCAAAAGACTTATGTTTGGAATACTTGGTTCATCCTGAGAAGGATGGAAATATAAGGTGGGGGGGGGAGAGAGAATATGCTGTGGTGGGTCTTGACAGCTGGGGTTTTTGTTAATTCTCTTGGTGATAGGGAGTTGCTGAAAGTTTCAACACTAAGGAGTTGTGACAGTAATAGCAACAACTAATATTTGCAGGCAATTCTGTACTGGCCAGTTGCTGCCATAGATACCTTGTCTGTTGGACCTCACAGCAGCCCTGGGAGGCAGGTGTAGCTCTCTTTTACAGATGAGAAAATATGTACTCTGAGATTTTAAGGGGCTTGTTAGAGCTCTGTGAGAGCCAGAGGCTTGGAGCTGGGTGGTGATCTGCTCACCAACTCAATCACATATGATGGGTGAGGGACAGGGGGGCGGTTTGAATGTGAACTGGGAGTCCCATGTGCCAATCATTCCCTGACTCACTGTTGAGTGCTAAGCAGAGAAA